TTAGAGTGGCGGAGAATCCGTTTGCGACCCGAAGTTGTGGGCGGCGTCCAAAATTTTGATGACCAGGCGTCGAAGACCGGTAGGCTGTGCAGCTGGGGTGCCAAGGGGTTTGAGGGGTTTTGCGGGCTTGTTGTTTGTGTGTCTGTCCGCTCTGTCGGCCGGGTTCGATGGAGTCGGATCGGATCATGTGGAGTGATCCGGCGGAGTGTGGATGTAACCGCATGAGAACGGCATGAGAAGTGCCCGCCGGATCTTTGGAATGGGTGTGAGATCCGGCTTCTTTCCACTGCTCAGTAAATGTGCAAAATGAGAATGAATATACCGCTGGAACATAGCAAGATACACTGCTGGGATTTTTGTCCTTTTTCCCTTTTTCTTTTTTTCGCTTTTTCTTTTTTTCTGGGAGCAGCCGGATGGGAGGGCGACGTGAAAAAGACGTCCTCATCAGAAGTGCCCGCCGTCGGATCTCTGGAGTGGATGTGAGATAGGGCCTGGCTCCACTGCTCACCAAATGTGCAAAATCAGAATGAATATAAGGCTGGAACATGGCAGGATACACCACCATATTTAGTGCCCTTTTTCCCTTTTTCTTTTTCCCCTTTTTCATTTTCATCTGTTTCTTGGTGATGTGGGTTTAGCTGCATGGATGTCTAGAGAAGACAGGTTTTGCCGTGGCGTGTGGTGTGACGTCAAGTGAGGCCCAAAACCAGTGGCCAGATTGAGTTCTCGTTTTTTTTTTTATTTTTATGAAGGGTGATGTCATCATGGTGACTGCAAGTGAGGCCGCAAAACCAGTGGCCAGATTAAGTTCTCTTTGTAGGAGTGCTTGATCTGGCCGTTGCTTTTGGGTTTTTGGAATTACGAGTCCGCAGCCTTGCCTTTTTTTTGGGGGGGGTGGAGCGCACAGCCTTTCCTTTTTTTTGGGTGGGGGGCGAGCCCGTAGCATCCGATGGGACGAGAGAGGTGTCGGGGAAGCAACGTGAAAAATGGGAATGAATCTTCTGCTATAACATGGGAAGGTGCATTGCTTTTGTGCATGTGAAGAGTGGTGTGGCGAGGCCCCTACTTACCTTAAGTAGGTCCTTTTTCTTCTCCCTTTTTTTTTTTTGAAGGGTGATGGCCCTGAGGTATGAAACCGTTTTCACCTTTGCAGTAGCAAATGCAGATTCCAGGGTTCGATCCCTACACCTTACCTCACCCGTGTACAGTACCAACTAGACCCCTGTGTGTTTGAACCCGTGCGGTATGTCTTGGTAGCTGACTGATGTCTGTCGTAGGTCTGTGTACTGGTTGGGTCTTGAACCGTAGGTCTGTCGAGTAGAGGTCATAGCTGTGTAGGGGTCGTAGTTGTTGCAGCTCTGAAAGGTCAAGGTCGTAGTTGTTGCAGCTCTGAAAGGTCAAGGTCGTAGCTGCTACAGTCCTGAAAAATCAAGGTCGTAGCTGCTACAGTCCTGAAAGGTCAAGGTCGTAGCTGCTACAGTCCCGAAAGGCCGAGCCCACTGACTTCCGGAAGGTCTGGAAGTGGCCTTTAGAGTGTTGCTCTCGTTACACCAGAGGCAAGTGGGCAAGTGGGCAGTCCAACTTTGCTTAGTCAGCGGTACCCAGTCCCAGTCTCACTTAGTCCAGTCAGCAAGTGCCATGTGGGACTGTGTGCACCATGGGCCCCGTGGAAAGGGGCAGACCAGCGACCAACAGAAGTATAAATCAAGAGGCAGCGTCCAGCCATTCATTCATTCTGCTGGGAGCCATGCGGAAGTGCTGCCCGTGTCTTGTACGAGGTGGTCTGCAGATGCCCGAAGTCGAAGTGGGCTGTGAGGAAGGAGGTGCGGCCATCGCCGCTAGCTACTAGGTGTAGAAGGCGGCCATAGCCGCCATAGGTTAGAAATAGCCTGTAGGGTGTGTGTGTGTGTGTGTGTGTGTGTGTGTGTGTGTGTGTGTGTGTGTGTGTGT